CCCCAGCACACAAAAATAGGATTAAGTGCTCTCTGTCTGCTCTGGACAATTTCAATCCCTCAAGAAGCAGAACAGAGGTGTCCATCCTCCTCAGTTCAAGTGCTCTGAGACTGAATGAATGCTGTGATGACACGTGGCTATGCAGGGGTGAAGGATGAGGTCACCAGGAAATATTGTGATTTCCTTTTATTTGTCTAGGAACTCGGTGAAAACATTGTTCCACAGAGCCTAAAGCCCATCCAAAGGAGTACAAGTGAGCGGCAGTACTCTTTTTTTGTTTAGAAACCAAGTTCTAATCACTTATTAGAGGTGATTTAACAACCCCCACAAACAGATTCTCCTTCAAATTCTGGCTGGTAAATCCCATGAGGAAAATGCATTAAGCTTGCACTAAAAGCCTGTTTATCTCTGAAGTACAATTTCCTCTGGAGGCCCCTTTTCCAGCGAGGCTGTGGGCAGGGGCTGGGTTTCTAACACAGCAGCCAAAGCCATAACACCAACATTCTGCCAGCTCAGGAGAAGGGAATTCACACATGAATACTCCTTACTCAACTTTTAAATTGTATTTGCTTTTTAATCTTTCTGTGCTAATACTGAAGCATTGATACAGACCCATGTGATAACACATTTAACTTTCTCATTATTTTTCAGTGAGCAATAATTGCAGGAGCTCTGGTTAAAAGGAAACTCAGTAATTACACTGATGACTTGGTGAATTTGAAGAGACTGTAGCAAACTATATTGTGATGGGAGTTTTTAGAACTTACAATTAATGGTCATTAATCACAAAAGGAAATAATGGATTTACAAACTGATGACAGCGAGAAGCAGTTTGGTATAAAATATTTGTAAAATAAAAAATGTATTAATTTGTTATGATATATTGCAAAGAAAAATAACCAAAATCTACAGTCCTATAAAGAAGCACATCTTAATAAATGGGTACAAGCTGAATAAAAGAAGAAGTAATGACTTGGTTAAAGCTCAGAGGGAAACAATGCCAAAGTCACGCACCTTAAATGAAGAACGAGTAGATGGATCTGATATATGGTGCTTTTTTTGAGAGGAAGCCTCTGTTTGGAGTGCAAGTCGCTCCAGCTAATGGCTAAGTGATGTGCATTGACAATCACATTAGCCCTTTTTGCTATTTTAGTCAAATAAGGCTAATCATTTAGCGTGCCTAATTTATATAGCTCTGAGGGCGGGTTATCAGTACAGATGTACCGAGGCATAAAAGACTTGGGAACACTGACCTATCTGTCAAATTTGATCAGGCCCAGTGAAATTCAATTTGTTAATCTTGCCTCACAATCCTCCCCTCATGCAGTCTGAGCACTAATAGGTTTTGTGCTGCACTGAGAATGAGCACAGGCTGCAGTGGGACTGCTTGGTTGCATTACTCAGAATCCTGCAGGAGAGATGTCACCTCTTGGAGCAAGGGGCAGGACTTCTACAATTGGAAGGCTAAAAGTGCAAATCTGTAAATACTTGTGATATATATTTGCATATATACCCAGTTCTTACCCTAAATGGCCACAATCCAATATTTTATTGATAATGAAGCAAACAAAAGAAATGAGGGCTGATTAAAGAGATAGGATGCTCTCTTTTTTGCATGTTTATATATACCTTCATACTCAAACTTCAAAAGTTAAATAATGTCAGATATTCATCTCTGGAATTCTCAGTTCTCTAAAATGGGAGTAATGCTAATTTTTCTCCTAAAGACCAAGAGAAGTGTGTGGCTCTCCCAGTACTCACTCAGGCCTCATTGCAAAAGAAAATGTCTTTTTTATCAGCTGTGTTTACCTAAGTAAACTTAGGTCTTTGAATCCTGGAGATGTCCACAGAATCTGGATACAGTGAATCGAAATAGCACAAGCTCTTAAAAATTGATCTTTTGCTGTTACCTGTCAGCTCTAAGAGCAGCTACATATGTACAGATGATTTTTTCCCATATTTGAAGTTCTGCCTGGATGGGATGTTTGACAACAAACCCAGATGTTTTCTGCATCAAAAATAATATTCAAGTCATTTTGGCTTGGCAATTTGACCTTATCAATATGACAGCTGAACTTATTTTTAAAGTGAGTTTGGAGAATCATTATCTGGACATGATTTCCCAATTCTCCACCGATTTGAGGCTTATCAGCTGTTGCAGACTCTGGGATGACAGGCAGTGTTTTAATGCTTGATAATTATCTAATTTCACAGGTATTATTGTGTATATTATTTGAATAATTCCTAATTGCATCAGCTTCTTCTTTACTACATGTATTGTTTTGCTCTGATTTTTCTTCATGCTTGTAACTAAAAGATGTTAGAAATAACAACTTGTGTTGTTCTCAGTCCTGGTTTGTTTCAGTACAGTATTACAGTCATCCTTCCAAAGGGGTTTTCTACCTTATTTTTTCTCTCACCACCATACAGGACAAGAGACCATTCCTGTTTTCCAGTCCTTGCCCAAATTGCATACAGAAGCTTACTGGATTGAATTAGGGAGAATCAAACTCGAATAATCATTCTGTTCCTCAGTTTCAGACAAATTGGGATAACAGCTGTATCCAAGTATAGACTCCAGCAGATCTACTTGGTCCTTCAATCAGGCCAGAACATTCAAGAAATTGTTCTGGAACACACAGAACATTGGCTAGAGGAGAATGAAAACAGACTTAACCTGTCTTAAAAGGTTTTATCTATTTCTGGCAAAGGAAAATAATAAAGAAACAAGGTAAACAACCTTTCCAAACAACTGACTTTTTCCTAAGTATGGAAATAAATCAATATGTTTCTTTATTAGTACAGGTAGATATAACACTGAAAGCATGTGGGAAGCATTCAATTAACATCCATGAGGCTTGACAGATGCACTGTCTGGGAAATATTTTGTTTCTTCCCCCATTAGGTATCTTTATATAAGCCTGTTTTCAATGTTATGCTGCCTATCAGGGGACATCAGACTGAAAATATAAGTAATACAAAGTCACAAAGTCAACTCTCCTGGAGAGGTTGCTCATGACCACTGTGGAAATAAACTCCATGTGCCACTGGACATGCTGCCTATCAGTGGACATCAGACTGAAAATATAAGTAATGCAAAGTCAGCTCTCCTGGAGAGGTTGCTCATGACCACTGTGGAAATAAACTCCATGTGCCACTGGAGTTTATTTATGCCTGAATCTTTTTACTTTAGGGCTTGGTCACCAGCACGGAACAGCTGTGATCAGCTGATTTCCAGAGAATAGTTCTTCCAACGTCTGCTTTGCTTCTCTCCATTAGTGTTCTACACCACCAAGACAGCAAAGTGATGGGGGTAAAAGTGATGTCGTTTGAAAGCCTGGAAAAATTTAATTTTATTCCTTACTTATCAAGATTAAACCCTGAAATGGTATGGTACAAACAAACAATCTGAAAAAGGAGCAGAGAAAAGATTAAAATCAACCAACCAACCAAAATAAAAGCTGTCTTCTGGCCTCAATTACTTTTCTGACATGAAATTTAGGAAAAAAAATTATTAGGCTGTCTGTCCTGGTTTAGGACAAATTAGGGGAAATCTCCAAAAGAATTATTAGGCTGTCATATATTGCTATTTAATCAGTTATGCCCCACATTAGGAGGCTATCTTTCTATGCCATGAAAAAACACCCAGCACTAAACATCTATTGTCATAGCCAGGACTCGCCTCACAACTGATAGCTCCTGGGAAAAAAATAAGCCTCTAATCTGAAAACAAATTAAATAGAGTGACTCTTTTTTCATTTTCTTGCTTTTCTGTAGAGTGGAACCACATCCATGCATCCCATGATATCCCCAATGTTTGCAGAGCTGTATAAATCACCACAGAAGGGAGACACTGAGTTCCATTTGTGTGCAGGTGATTTCTGAACACAGCTTCCGTGGCATCCCAGTGGCTAAAAAGTAATAACGTTCCCTAATTTATGAATTATGGTTTGGGACTTGCTTTTCTTATTCTCCCCTTACACATCTGAGGGAAGTTCAGTGCTTCCCTATCTATGGTGTTTTGCTAGGTGTGAAAAAATAAAATCCCAGTTAACTTCCATTGGTTAAAATCTTGTTAGAATAAGGTTCTGCAGAATTTTTTTCATCAGTGTGAAAAGTCATTTCAATAATATCTATCCCATATTCATATTTACAGTTCTGTGTATCTCAAGTCTGCTAAAGCTTGTGCATTTAGAATAAAGGGAAGACTCGAGTGAGGATGCAAAAACCAAACAAACCAATCCCTAGTGATTGTTTAAACTAAAAATCTGGATGGTGATCTATCCTGATGGTGGCATTTAAAGCCCCATATCAGTCTCTGGACAGAAAGCTTTCCCAGAAGAGGAGGAAGAAGATCAAGGAGCAGCACAACTGCAGCAACAAGAGGCTGATGCCATTGACTCCATCACCAGGGAAGAAGGCTCAGCTTGGGTGTCACTATTTAGATTTATAAAGCTTTAGTGAATTCTTTCCCATTGTGCACAAGTGAGATCATGGCCCTACCCTGACACTCCTTTAAGGAGCTCCTGCTGCAGGGTGTGTGAGCACAAACCCCAGGGCATAACAAAAGTTATGTATATTTTTATGTGTACACACATTTTTATATATCTATATGTGCATGTGTTTGATGCAGTTATAAATTATCCAGCTAGCCAGAAGACTTGGTGAGTGAAAACTTTTTTAAAACCACATTAAAATACAAAATTGATATGTGAATTGTGGAACGTTACCACAAGGCTGAGGATGTGTTTAAGATACCATAGAGCATTAAAGCAAAGTAAATCTCTCTTACTTCAATATTCACCTGTCTGAGGGGAAATCATAGGATTTATTTTACTTCCTTTATTTTACTTTCAGCTTTCTCCACATGGCTATTAAACCAGAGTGTTAATGGTGAAATCTGCATGTCAGAGAACCTAATAAATTGAGAATTGTTAAAAAGCAAACCAGACACAGTTAAGTCTCAAGATGGTGTGGTGTAAAATAATGCATTGTTGTACCTGCAATGATGTCATCCATTTGCTCCAAAGCTGCTTCCAGCATATGACTGGCATCAGAAGCCATCCTCTGGGATTTCTTCAGATCTTTACTCCCTCTACTGAAAAGACAGAATAAACCACACATATTACACTAAATAGCCTGATGGCAAAATGCGCTTCACTGTCACATTATGCATTAGGCTACACAAATAAAATCCATGCTACAGCTTAGTAATGCAGCCTAGTGATACAAAAATACAGCCCAGTAATAAGAAAACTAAAAAACCTGTTCCTGTTCTTGGTAGACGACTTGGGAGTTCTGATTCATTTTTTTTAAAGAGATTTCACTAAAACAGTCAAATGCAAATAAAAAAAATCCCAGAAAACTTCGAATACTGGAAGCCCAAGATTCTCCTGCTCCTCATCCTTAACAACGGTTTCCTAGATTCAAAGATCAGAGCATTTCAGCCTTTTCTTCTGTGGGGCAAAAAAAGAGGATTGATTAAGGTTCAGTTGACGAATGAAGATTTGGGGCAGAACATGCCTTGCCTATAAGCAGAAATCTGTAGGAGGCCTGCTTTTTGATTTTTGCCTTAAGAGTAAAGAAAATTCTGAAATAGTTTTTACTCCTCCTTCCTATATTCCCATTCAGTCTTTTCACCACCTCTTTCATGACACCAAAAATCCCATTTTTTCTGTTCAAATAAGCAAAATGCCCCAGGTATGAGTTCTCTGAAGTTACTGCTGCTACTTTAAAACAAGATTAAATACATTCATGTTACCATCTGACATTGGGGATAACAAAAAAAGAGAAAAATCTTCCAGAATGAGTCCCTGCTTGTGAGTTGGTGCTGCTGGACTCTAAGTCAAGCAGCAGCTGCTGCTGCCAACAGATGACATTTCAAAGGGGAGAAGAATTTATGCAGTCCATTTCACTGCCAGTGAAAAAATCCCCTCTGGAATAAGGCCCTTTTGCACATCACTTCACCACAGAAGCACGAGTGCAGTGCCCACGCAGAGAGGAAACAGGGATGGCTCTTGGCCCACAGGGCTCCAACACAGCTCACAGCACCCACAGAGCCCACAAAGGCTCACAGTATTTTCATTTCTGCTCCATGAAGGCTGCAATTCAGTCTTTCAGCATTCAGCCTTCTTTTACAGTGAGTTGTAAGAGCTGTGGTATAAAACTGTTCAATTTTAGCAGCTATCACCAGACACCTGTCTGACAATGGACAGAGAAATCCTTCAGATAACTCAGGTTGTGGGTAGGTGTAAATGCAAACCTATGACTCCAGTGCTTCTGAAATGCCACAAATATGTGTTTGTCATGGGATCACTTGTGCTAAGAATTCAAGTAGTTTGAATTGAAATAAATACTACAATGAAAATTTGTACCATCCAACCAAAATTTTCTTCTCTTGAAAACTAAGAATCCTGAGACATGGGTTTTTCTCCATGGTGCTGGAGACTCGTACACAAAGAAAGCTAATTTATTGAGAACCTCTGTGTTATCAGCATCCTATGTTGATTCCAGTTAATGTTGATAACCCCAGGATCCAGAGAGACAGATGCAGGAATGAGTCAGGAACTGCAACATTCTCATTTGAACTCTGCCATTTATAGCTTGTCACAGTGGGTAAGCCACGATTTAACTTCAGATCACATTGATGTGAAGAGCAACGTGAGAATGCCTCATCCTCACTGTCACCCAAGGCTCAGATTAATGGAAATGAATCAGTGGTTTTGGTCCCTCAGTTTTTTTGTCAAAATAATCTTAAGTACAAGCAATGCTAAATTTAACCAAAGTACTTGTCACCCAAATATTTCACTTAATGGCACTGGAAATAACATAAATTGTGCTCAGAATAATCTGGAAAGTCATTAAGTCAGCTGATATAAACCTAAAATTTCAGAGTGCTTTCTTTCACATGTGAACTTTCCAGACACTCCCCCTGATCCTGCTGCTTCCATTTGCTGGTTTTTGGGAGACTTCCATCTTCTGTTGCCACATCACAGGCCACCAAAGACATCTCAGCTGCAATGATCCTCCTTCCTTGCAGTATTTCCTCTAGTTCAAAGCAGCCATACCACGGGGAATAATCACCTTAGTGGCAGGAAATCCACCTACAGGTGACAAACAGGTGCCAGAGGAGCACCAAGGCTCCCCCAGGAATGCATGGCCACCAGCTGTGTAGGGAAATCAGAGCAGCAGATTCCTGGCTCAGAGTTAGAAGGCAGAAAAAGAGTGAAAAACTCTAAATATAGCATAGAGTTTCTAATTCTAGGTTGCACTCCATGCTTTTATTTGTGATGAAAGCCACTGGAGCAGCACACGGCTGTTCAAACAAGAAATGCAGGACTACATTTCTTGTTAACATCTGATATAGTATTTCATCATTTGTGGTGACAAAGGCACAGAAAATGCTGATACACTGCATTACAAACTTGAAAATTCACTGATGGAAAAATCTCCCGTCAAAGCCTTGGCAAAACCCAGAAAGTTTTCTGAAAAACTCCACCAGAAGTGAATCTTCCATCTCCTCCCTGCCTCCACAGTCAGCCTATTTTCTCACCTGTACCCACGGAATATTTGCTGCCTAACTGCATTAAGCTATAGAAAACCTGCTGATCAAACAAGGATTTATTAATGAAAGCAATGTTCTTTGCTCCAGAGAGATAATGTAATATTACTTGCTTGACATCTTTTTCTAGACAGACCTGTTGCGTGTGCTCCAGGCAAGTCTCACTTTCCCAGACACTCCCTCCTTACACTTTGGCTGCTCTGAGCAGTATTATGAAAAGGGCTTGTTACATCTCCCACCATTTCTGATCTAATTTGATAGAAATATCTTCAACTGTGGATTCTTTTTAAAACACTATTTAATAACAAGACACTTGTAGCAGCCCCTCAACAGGATTCATCTATTTGCTGGTATTTTAATTACAAATCTTTTTTACAGTTTTCATTCCTGAATGACATCAATACATGCAGGACACCATGACTTATTTGCTTATGTAAATATATACATCTATTAAAAAAAAAAGTTTTACAGCTTTGGTAAGGATTGAACAAAAGTTACCTCTCGCACTACAGTACAAGCTTCAATATTAGCAAATTCTAACCTTCAGGATTCACTAGGTTAATTAATATGCCAGCAAAATACAAGAACGAGGCTACTCACCTTTTCAGGTCTCTAGGAGGAAAATAATTTCCTTTTTTTGCCTGACCAGTGAAAATTCCTTGCTATTAATAGCCAAAGTTTTACTGTTAAGCAGACATGAGTCTAAATTATTATCATCCCATCTAAGCCACATGCTCATATTAATTTAGAGCCCAGCCCACAGAGATATTGCAACCCTGTTTGTTATAACTGCCTGAGTAATGACATCTTCCAGGAAGTGCAGACGGAGAAAACTGGTCTGAATTCCTGAAATTTATTTTGCTAAGGTAGTTTTGCACTGTACGTCCTAATCTGAGATTTGCATTCCAAATAAAATGAAAAATCCTTGGTAGAACTATTGTGCTCAGAGCCAATATCCCTTGCAAATTTCTCAGCCTACATTCTCTATGTAAAACTACAACTTACTGTGTCCAAAGGAACATAATATTTAACAGACATATTCACTGTGAGCAAGATGTTCTTCAGAACTATGAAAAGCCTTAATTAAATTTGAATCTTTCATGGCTGGCTTGAACCTGCAGCTGCTCAGAGATAAGAAAATGAACAAGATGAATTCAGGTACTCAGATGTTTTCCCAAGGTTGCTCATAATAATGAGGTTACCAACTTTATCAATCACAAGGGGTGTGGGTTTTGACAGAAACTCCAGAAATCCAGATCTTGTCTGTGGCCTACAAATTCCTCTCACATTTAGCTGACACATGTAACAATTAACTACCACCACCTTTTTTTCCTAGGATAAATAAATACATGCTTGTAAACTCTTTAAATACTCTGATTTGCGTATTACATTGCTTTGTACTTAATGGCATAATGAAATATCAAGTGCCTTGGTTAAGCTCATAAGTCCTCCAAGTTTTCCTTCAGCTGCAAGATGACTCCTGCCCTGGAATGCAGAAATCTGCCCAGCTTCCAGCCTCTGTTTCTCACCTTTCTTTTCCCCCAGCCACACTCTGTGCAGCATCCAGACAGGAGCACAGCCACTGATTCATCCCTGCAGCTCATGGCTCCAGCAGTTACAAAAGTTATAAATTCCTGTTTGGATCCTGGCCTTTTAGAACCTGCTGGAACTCTCTAATTAAGATAATCCTTAGTCCTAACTAGCAATCCAGGGAACAGAATCATCTCTGTTGGTCACTAGATGACTGCCTAAGGAGTGCTCCATGTGCAGGATCCTCTCCAGCCAGAAATCCTGTTTATCTGACAGCTGGGAGAGCTGGGCTTGCTCAGCCTGGAGGAGAGAAAGTTTCAGGGAGGCTTCCAGCAATTTCCCAGTGCCCAGAGGGGTTACAGGAGAGCTGGAGAGGGACATTTCACAGAGGCAGTGGTGACAGAAAGACAGGTAAGAGCCTTAAGCTGAAGGAAGGTAGGTTTGCATTCAAACAGGAGGAAATTCTTCCCTGTGAGGGTGGGCAGGCCCTGGCACAGGTGCCCAGAGCAGCTGGGGATGCCCCTGGATCCCTGGAAGTGCCCAAGGCCAGGCTGGATGGGACTCTGAGAAACCTGGGACAGCAGAAGGCACCCCTGCCCAGGCAGGAGAGGTGGAGCCAGATGACTTTTGTGGTCCTTTCCAACCCAAACCATTCTATGGTTTGAGCCTAAATTTCATTTATTTCTTAATACAGACAGTACTTGCTCTATTTCCCCTTCATATGTTTCACTGGAATAGGCAGAAAGGTAAAAACCCTCTTCTTTCATTGTTTACCATTCTGTAATAAGTAAAATCAAGACTATTTCAGAAGGGTTTTAAGAATAGCTAGACTAGGAATGAAAAAAAAACAAGTTTATTTCTTCACTGATTACCCATTCTGTAATAAGTAAAATCAAGGCTATTTTAGAAGGGTTTTAAGAATAGCTAGACTAGGAATGAAAAAAAAACAAGTTTATTTTGAGCTGGAAAGTGTAAAGTGCCCACAGGAAGGCAGAATGGGCAGCTCT